TGGCGCATCTATCAAATCAACTCTCGACGAGATACTAGACAATCAAATACCTCTTGTTCTGTGTACTGACTCGAAATCCCTGTACGATTGTTTGGTTAAGTTGGGAACAACTCAAGAAAAAAGGCTTATGATAGATCTCATGTGCCTCCGTCAATCCTACGAAAGAAGGGAAATAGCTGAAGTTCGATGGATCGAAGGAAGTTCCAATCCTGCAGATGCTATGACAAAGGAAAAACCTTGCCATGCACTCAAGGAACTTATTGATACAAATTCAATATGTGTCAAACCAAATCAGTGGGTTGAAAGATAAAGGAAAATCTAGTATTAAGATAGGTCGTCTATTTTTTTCATTTTCATTTTCATTTTTTATTTTTCATTTTCTCGTTTACCGCCAGTGTGTGAACTGGCTCACAACATGTTATGTACAAGGGTCGAGTTGAGACTTTTCCTTATATGGAATAGCGTTTAGCTAAATGTAACAATTTATTTATAGAATTCCTCCCGGCAGGGAGAAGAAATAGTAATGAATTGAGTAACCCCACACAAGCTTGTGAATTGACCATTGGTAGTGTTCCGACAGTGTGCGTGTGGAGAAGAAACATCACCTCTCCACTTCATTCACTGTCGACTGCACGTAAGCTAGACGCATCGACTACGAGGGACAATGTCACATCACGACTTTACCCACAAACTTCCCGGGCCTAAGTGCCCGAACACTTTAAAAAATTTGCGCAGGAAACCGGCTGCTTCGGGGGCCCACCTGCAACTCCGTCTCCAGCTCTCAGCGTGGACAGTTGTAACCAAATCATACCACGAAGCATGACGGGCGGAGAAATGAGACGATAGGTGACATTCTCCAACCGCAAACAGGAGTATAGGATTTGGAATTTTGGTTATGGGAGTATGTGTGGGCATTTGTTTTCTTTATTATAACGAGCTGCTTGTTGTGTAGTGAGTCTCGCGGTGAGACCGAGTCGGGCATGTAGGAAGCATAATCTTGGCCGGGTGCACCGGTCCTTGACTCCTAGGAGATATTGAGCAAAGCTTAGGACTTAAAAAATAATAAAAATAAAACAAACAATTTTTTGATATTCGAATTTTTGAATCTTCACTTTTTCCCACTCTCTCTCCCTCTCGTGCTCGTCGCGTCCCCTCAAAAAATTATGATTGAGTCACTGGCATTTTCACCATGCCACCTGTTCGTAAAAAGCGTCCCAACGCATAGTTGTACAACACGAGAGTCCACCCGAGGGCTCTCGCTCAAGTGCCTGGCCTTATCAAGTATCCGAAATGCGCGGAGATGAGCAAGGTCTCTACTAAAGGGAAGGAAAAAGCTCTCCCCGCCGTCACTGAGCCCGATACTGACATGATCAGGTCAATTGAAATTGTTGAGGAAATTCCTCAACGAGTCTCCATCCCCCACGGAATTGGAGAATCTTCCAAACCTCCTCCGACCGTGTCAAAACCGTCGGAAAACGCTGCACCCATAGCAGCGTCAACATCAACGTCGCAGCCAACAGCTGCCACGAAAGCAGAGTGTCCCCTCGAGCTCCGACCAATAGTCGAAGCTGAACAACGACGCGCCGCCGAAACAGCGGCAAATCTGGCCATCTCTGGCGTCGAAGCCACCCTCCTCCCTTTGACCAATGGGTCAAACAAACAACTCGTAGACTCCATGAGAGTCTACTTACGCGCCGCCATTGCGCAATACATGGCAACGGGACCGGCCACTACGCCACCCGTCCTCCCTCCTCGCCCGGCAATCCCTCCCCAAAGGGCTCCCGACGCCAGGAACATACGAATTCCCGCCGTCCCAGTGCTGCCTATAAAAGGCACCTGGGCTACGGATGCCAGAAACAGACTGCAACAAAAATCAGTCCCAACTGTAAAGGCTGTGCCGCGACCTGCGACCAAAGCCCCAAAGAAAGCAGCTCCCAAGGCGAAAGTCGACAAACAACTGTTCCTTCGCCTAGAAAAGGAGCACCCGTGGTGAAAACTGTCCACAAGCAGCGTAAGATCTAAGTTGAAGTATACATTCGGCTAGTTTAACCAAGAAATAACCTCACTCCATCGAGTGAGAACGGGCTTTGCTATGCTATCAAAGAACGAAAAAACACGACAAGAGACTTTAGATGGCTCTTCGAAGCCGACGAGTCAAAACGTCAAACTCGAGCCATCTTCGGATCTTGTCGCCTTACAGATACCGAACGTACCTGTAAGTATAGTTACAGTGTGCGGCCCCAGGGTGGTCGATGCTAGGTGTGTCTCTGCCAAGATTCTCGGTACGACCGGCGCGATTCCAATCCAGGTCCGACCTCATGGGATATGTCGACCTGGGGCACTATATCAAAACTGGCATGCCCTTTTTAAGCGGGACAACGCCCCTCGTGCGGGCTTCCGCCTCTTCGACGAGTCTGGTATGACTACCATTCACAAGTCTCGTCGCCAAATTGAACAGTGTAAACTCTGTTTGGGCTTCCAGGCCACTCGTGGTTGCTCCCGTGCTCCAGCCTGCTGGAACTGCGGATCTATCTTGCACTCGGCTTCCGAGTGCAAGGCCCTCACAAAGTGTCGCAACTGTGGGGGACCTCACCGATCGGATTCTCGGGACTGCCAAGTCAGACCCAGAAAGTCTGAGCCGGTGACAAAAGAGCAGCTCGCATGGATACGCCACCTCGAGCAAGAGAAGTTCGCGGAGGCGGCTCGAGCTAGGGCTGCAGCCAAAAAGGCCGAAGAGGCGATCGTCGCCGCGGCGAAGGATGTCGCAATGGCCGAGGCTACGGGTTTCGGAGTGCTGGGATCTGAAGAAGAAGTTTGAGGACACAGCAACCTCGACGATATCCCCTTAAGGGGCATCTACTAACAATTAGCAGGATACTCGCTGGATAAAAGGTGCCTGCTAACTCATGTACTGCTCTCAGCGGAGATTAAGTAAATTTTTCATTTGGAAGGTTTGACGGACGAGGGAATGTGTGAGGGGCACATTGACTGGGTCCATTTTGGAGGAATCTTCTGTTTTTTTCGGAGTTGTTTTGATTATCTTGATTTTTCGTTTTTGTTAAATCAGCTGCACTTTTGGTAGCGATTCACGAGGTTGGAACGAGTTAGGCTGTAGGAAAGATTACAGGGAGCCCTGCCGGCTCCGCCTGTCCTTGACTCAATGGGGAAAACATAGCTTTAGCTTAGGACAAAATAGACAAAACAACTTTAAGGTCTCGTGATGGCCAGCTAAGTCTACATAAACTACCCGACGTTCTGATACTTTTAAATAAGCCCGACATGTTATAAATAGGCCAAGGCCTAACTGCCATGCACCCCGAACTATCGAATGAAGTCAGAGGTACTCTCGAGCTGAGACCTTTGTATTCTAATACAGTAGAGAAGATAGTTATATATATGAAAAATAAAGTTATCCATCACCTAGACCAGAAGTCTTCCAAATTTAGCTCTAGCAAATACAGGCCAAGTGCATATAATTTGGGGTACTGGTTAGTCTTGTCGTTGCATGCTTCAAAAAAGCCTGTTTCATGGAGCCATTTACTAAAAGCTATGGCTCCTTCAGGTGAGCCTAGAATCCAGCGAATTCCCGTCGTTGGGTGTTTATTTCCGCTGCAAAGGCGGGACCGACTCCGATTGAGTCGACAAAAGAAGAAGTGCTCGGGAGACTTTTCTAGCCCGCAAGTGCAGATCGGAAGAGCGTCCAAGTGCTGAAAGCGGCGGTGGTAGTCACCGAAGTCTCCATGGCCTGAGCGAGCTGCAAGAAGGCGACCAAGATCGTAGCGGTTAAGGCTCTTGAGTTCGGGGGAGTTCCCAATATTGGCGTTAATTCCCAGTTTTTGGTATCGTTCAGGAGCGTTTTGAGTATCTTGAGTAATGAACGACGTAAACCCCAACGCCGCACTAATACAACGTGACTAATTTCCGTAATTTTCCCCATAGCTACTCTACCAATGCCAATATTCACACAAGAACATTATACGGTCTGGGGCAATTTATCTCTTTAATTCATGCTGTACTACTACATTCTAGCTTGACACCATCTCATACTCTTAGGGAGGCTACTTGTTGAATGTTTGACGCTGTCAAGCAACTCAGATCGAAAATCACTACTACTACTACAAGTGTTTGCCCTACGGACAAGGGGCCATTTATTTGGTCACCGTACACATACAGCGGTTCGCTAAGGTTTCTGTTCAAGTAACATCTCCGCTGGTGAGATACCTGCCTTGCCGTGGAGGGCCATATTTGGGGTGGTGCGCCAACCTGTTAATGCCGCTAACATTGCTAGTAAGATAGTGGGATCAACGATAATGGTGTACCACCCATTACCCGTACTACCTTCTTTCCTTCGTTTAAAGGCAGGTCAAGTATATTTGAATGAAAGGAGCAACTGTTTTATCTCACAATTTGACGAACCTTTTTTTTCGTTAAGCTCTATCCTGGCTATCCAAATTAGCCTAACCAAGTTTCTTCAATGAATGAGACAATCAAAAGGTTTTCAGTGCCGCTGCATGTCTGATTCCTTGAGTTTGATGTAGTTTGACTTAAAAGTTTATGGAATGAATTGTTCAGTTCGTCCATGCCCTACACATTGAGTCTCTAATAAATGTGGTAGCCTACAGTATCATAGTGGCTTGTGAAGATAGTTGAAGGAGTAAATTTTTAATTACTTGATTGCGAATGATGTTATTTGAAACATATAAGAGGTTAATCCAAAATCTTTCGTGTTAAATAAATTCTAGCACGGCAAGCAAAGCTCAGTTTAAAAAAAATATAGCCTCTCTCCTAATTTTCTGCCAATACACATTGCACTTCCAAGCAAATGTGAACCGGAAGATAACAAAAGTGTAACTCGTTTATTTTAGTGTATATCTAATAACCTATATTTTAATTAAACAAAAGATCAATTCAAGAATCCACCCGAGTACAAGATTCTCCAATTTACGACAGCCTGGGGAGTCCTGACATCCTTATCTATCAGGAAAGTCCTGTAAAACACTTCATGATGTTCCTCTAGCCAACAATTTATTCTCGATTGTCCCATCTAAATAATTGAGAATGTTAGCTAGACTCTCATTTAAGGGAACAGTGATTGTGTAGTAATTGTGTAGTAATTGATTGATCTTACCTCTTAGATCTTCAATGGTATTGCTGAATGCCTTAATAATCTTCTCATATTCGGCTTCATAATCTTCAGGGGCGCTATATTCATCTCCAAGCTCTCCAAATAGTATCGTTCGGAGTTCAGATGCTAAAGCCTTAAAGACTACGAAATTGGTGGAGAAGTTATCGAGAATTTTTTCTTTAAATCTCGAAATAGCTGCTTGCTTTATATCGTAATTACTCTGGATCTTGTCAGTGTGCCACATCTGCAGTCCAATCACCGCCCTTGAATTCTTTTTGCGTTCATATGTTATGCATCCTACAATGAACACATAAAAGAACGACTCCAGATCGTGATGAAACGTGCGAGCTATGGTTTCCCCACGATTTGCAGCGGATTGTAGCCTCTCAAGTGCCATGAACTGCATAGTACCAGTCAAGAACAAGTTGTCATCTTTGCCTGGTGGTGGGTCGACCATTTCGGCGTGATCCAAATCGATCAATATCCCTTGAGTTTTACCACCTACAGTTGCTAGAATGATGTTACCGTCAGAGATGTCACCATGAAGTATTTTCTTTTCGACATACAGGCGGCGGTGTGCCACCATTGCGTCTCGTATGCCAACAAGAAACTCCATAATCGTTTTACTGGAACGAAGACTATGGCCACGAGGTGAGATAACTATTCTGCGAAGTTCTCGATCTCTCAACTGGGGAGTCCGAGGTACCTCTACACCTTCAGCCATGGAGATAAAAGGATTGCAGCCCATCATCTTCAAATATTTCGCATTGCTGAAGTTGAGGTCCTTCAGATGATCACCTATGGTACAGATTATGTCTGCCGTGACCTACTCGACCACGCCATCTATTCCATGGGCATGTTGCAAAAAGTCGATTTCTGATTTACCTGGAGTCCTGACCCACGAGTATTTAACAACACTGTTTTTGTCCAAAGTTTCGAAACAGGTAGTTCCACGAGTGACTATGGTACCCACCATGAAAAAAGGATTCGGATTAATGTCAAACTTCCTAGTCTCCTTCTGTTTCTCATCATAAATGGATACAGAAGAGCGTCCATTAGCTTTTTCAATAGATGAGTCAATACCTAGTTCTTGATCACTCATCAAAAGGTATGAACAGATCGCTCTCATTAGCTTTTCTTTATTGTCTTCGATGTTGAATAAGCCCGAGCTATATGCGCCCGAGCGATTAAACACCCACAGTTCAAAATTTGATTTGAACGCGGTAAATCCATGTACGAAATGACGAAGTGGCTGTGTGTAAAACACTTGGAGGGCAAGTCTAGATAGCTGATAAAACTTTTCGTTCCTTTGACCTGAAGATTTCTTTTTCGTAAATTCACCCAGTACTCTCACATCACTCCATTGATGAACCTTACTTTGAGCATTGGAAGACCCGTTTCTCTTTGTGAGGAAGTCGGCCTGGTAATCGTTGTCAGTACCCCTCATCGGGCATTTATCTGACGAGCGAAAATAACTGCAGCGGAACTGGGAGCCTTCTTCTTCTTTGATGATTTTTGGAAACTTTTCCGATGGTCTGTGGAATTTATCTGTGAGCTGATTCAAAAAATTCTCACGAAAAAAATTTAGCCAGTCCCACATTTCATCTACAGTCATGTCTCCAGTCAAAATCTTGTTTTTATAGATTATTTTCTGGATTCCCCCAGATTTGGCCTCTTCCGAATTAGTTTTGTTCTGGATATCATTGTTATTTGTATTCATGATATTTTGCGAACCTTCGAGCGATTTGTTTCCTGCCAAAATTGCCGATTCTTTGTCATCTTTTTTTGTCTGACTTCGGGGTTTTCTGAAAGTTTTTGGTGTTTCTTCCTCCATCACAGTCTCTAAATTTCCGGCCAACTTATTTTTATAACTTCGAGTAACTTTACGAGTATCTGGTAGCCTTCCTTCTTTTCTTACTTCTTGAACCTGGGTTACCTTCTGCTTGTTGTTTATGGTTTCTCTTTGTGTCCACGTCTCAGCTTCTTCCTGGATCTTAATTTCATTTCGTTCGTATGCTTCATAGCTTTTCCAAATATTCCATGTTTGATTGGACCAATCTTTACCCAAGAAAAGCTCCGTCCAAAAATTGTCCAAATCTACAATTACATTTTTATAAAGTTCATTTCTTAATGCTGCGGTCATAGAAGTGACATTTTTGTTAAAATCTTTTGCCTCTGAAGCACTTCGGGTGAATGTAAATAGACCGGGTGCGGGTGTCAGAGTTAATCGATCACTGCGGTCACTACGTTGATTGTCACTTGGTTGATCTGCTAATTTTTCGACAAGTTCAATCGCAATTTTGAATACTTCAGATTCATCTTGGTATTGTGAGATAGCGTTGACAAGAGGTTGAAGTTCTGTGAGATGATGTCCATCGAGCATAATCTCCGTGGAGATTTTGGAAAATTTACCAGCCAGTTTTCTCAGTTCATTGTTAGGTCTGATACGTTGTATATGGGCAGTTAATGTCGTAATTAGCCTTGCAAGATCTAATATGTTAGCTTCCGTTTCCTTGTATATTCAGTGAAAATTACTATCTTGAGCACTCTCCTCCGTGTAATCGTTTCGAAAAGTTGTAAGAGTAGCTTCGATTGGATTCTCTTTGAGATGAGCAAAAATTTCCGGATAGTGAGACATTTCGTAAAGTGTTGGTTTGAAAGTTGTCGTTTCGATGAATGTGATTATGGAAAGTGAGATAGAGAGCAACGAAGCGCATCAGTCGCGTGGATATAGAGCGGATGGTCATATGAGAGTGATGCATCAAGGCATCTTCCTGCATAACCGCTTTATTCTTAACGCCAGCGCAGAAGATTTAGTCATAGCCATTGGTGTCAGTGTACCTGCTCACTATGCCCTGCATATCTGGGATAGCTAAGAACAATTGAATCCCAATAAATGTTGAAGGCAACCTCCTGTATATCAAAAATCGACGAATTCCCGTGAATTTCCGAACTATAGGCAATGAGCTTTTCTGGCCCATTTACTCGTGTCACGTCTGAAATGATTGGGTTTCCTTTCTGTCAAATTGTAATTTTCAAGTTCAAGTCTAATTGTAGACCTTTCATTCTCACAAGAATCCTCTAGTTCAATCTTTCTGCATCACCTCGTGTCAACCACCCATGATGGCATTACTCCAATTGAAATCTGGAATCTGCCTCATCAAGGATTGGCCATCTTGCACTACAAAGCTTGGGCATTGGTCCCTGGGGGACCATTGCTCTAATGGTGCTTCACATCATGAGGGATAACAGTAAGCCGGTGCATAGGATGAACAAATGATGTTTGGGATAAACTACACCACAGACTACAAGAACTTCAACCTTAGTACAGGCTACGGTCTCGGCTTTACGGGTCCATACAAATATTTGTGAAACGTCAAGTCATGTTCAGGCATTCAAGTTGGTATCTTGTCTAATTTCGTTCTTTTACAATCACGGACTTATTGTTTTTGCGGGTTTTTTTTTTGGCATTAGATTTTAATTGCGTATGCAGCTATCTAGCTATGACGCAATATCAAAGAAAAGTACAGAAAAGATGACTCAATTTACAAGAGGAGCACTCATGCCTCAGATTTCATTTGCAAGTACCACTGCAAAGTTATGGCAGCTTTTTCTTTACCCCAAATTAACCCTCATCCGTGAATACCCACCCAGGGAAACTTCTCAAAAACCCTGAGTTATTGTTACGGTTTGACCGTGGTTTAGCTTAGGCGGAGACCTAAGCGGAGTTTGGGGGCGTATTCGGGAGATTGTTACACATTATCTTGTATCAAGCGACTTAGTTTCACTTGGCCACATTACATTAAAGCTAGGAAGGAATGTGAGACGGCGAAGTAGAATTGCCAAGTGAGAGAGTCAGCTAGATGGCAAAGATGACGACGGGCAGTGGCGAAGCAATATGTCATTCTCACCAACAGAGTACGTATTGGATGAGCTAGAAGGATGTACAAATAGTCACTGCCCGTAGTTATGATACTTCTCTCTTCATATAGTTTTATCTTTCTAAAAGTACACTACAACCAGCATGGTTTCGTCACAGTTATCCAAACATGCCTCCATCATCTTTCCACTTTTCTCCGCGCGAAATATGGTCTGGGTGTTGTGAATACCTCGGGTCAGCTCCGATCGAGCCTCATCGGGCTCCCACCGTCGCGGCACTCGGACACTCGGCCGCAGTAAGCTAGATGAGATTAGGGCACTGGCAGCACAGCTAAGTACCTAATCACTCTAGCAACATCCCTACATCCGAGCGTTGCCTGGTGGACCAATGCGTTTAGACTGAGGTGCACATCACTCTGATGGCTACCGAGGGGCAACAGCATATAATGTGACGACGGTGTATAGCTCTGCAATCCCAGGAGTTCCACACTAGCAACCAGTGTCAATAATATGTTGTGACAGGAGATATTGGTAGGGGCTATGGAAGCGGTTACTGTGACAGAAGTAGGAAGCACCTGTGGTGAGTGCGTGATCAGGACTGGGGTACTGAATGTATATATAAGGAAGCAATACTTCCGCAGATAGTCTGAAAATTAACCATCTCACTACTGTCCATTCCAACCCTTCTTCTCACTACAGCCATATCAATTATATCCGCGCATCCATAATAATTTGCATCCATTTCAGGTATTCCTCTGTCCCCTCATGACCTCGTTATCATAACACTGGGGTGTCTCTTTCCCAAGTGGAGTAGGTGCCCAGGATACTCAGACTATACCGGAGAACACCACCAGGAGGCGGATCATAACGCTTTCCATCGTTGGCTTGTGTTTGTAGTGTCAGCTACGCTCAATAAACTCGGGACTGTCCTAGGAAAAGGGCTTCTTGTGCGAACTGCGGCAAGGAGCACCGTTCGTGGCAGAAAGCAGCGTGTCGGGCCTACCAGGTCTACAAGGGTAGTGTGGAGAAGGCTCGGATGGAGCTGTTATCGAGGACGGCAGAAATAAGGAATGAAAAACCAACAATGGTACCAATACAAATAGTCGGACCGACTGATGATCAACGATTCACTTCGGTCACCAGTAAAAAGGCCGAAGGACTCAAAAGAGGGCCGGGACGACCACGCAAGGTAGTCGAAGCCTATAAGGAAATGGTTAAACTGTCCTTTGCAGCTATTGATGGTGACATGAATTAAGATGATGATTGTGATTGAGATAGATTTCTATATAGTTTATAATACATGATATGCTCAGGTTCATATACCTCGAGCCAAGCAACCAGATTATGTTCCTCCAGATCTAGATTCATCAGAATAATTACTTACTCAGTAAAATTCTCCTAGTCTCAGTTGTGTGTTTAGGATCTTGATTAGGTTTCTAGTAACTAGTCAATGATGTTTCTCATATCACTGAGACATAGTCATGGTTGATACAACAGGTACAAACGATGAATCGTGTCTGTACATGACGTTGTGATATAGTCATGATCGTCTGAACAATATCAACTCATGAATGAATCATGTCTCTACATGACAAAGCCCCAGTGGCACCAATCATCGCCTCTACAGTAGCACCACCTTCGGGGCCATCTCTTCGAACACTTCGAAGACCAACGCCGAGTGAGGAGGTGCCTTCTCTTTTTAAATTCTCATAACGATGGTCTGATTGAAGGGGGAGTCAATGAATTTAGAGAAAAGTTTACATAATTGCGTTTGAAAGGAACGTCCTCAGCATAAAGTCGGGTCGGTTCAAAGTGGCAGGACATCGGGTTTTGTTTGTTAAAAGCTTTTTCCCTTACCAAAGTGGCTTACCGTCTTCATGTCTCTGTATATAGATACCGCATAGGACGTTAAACTAGAACAATGAATGAATAATATTAATAATAGTAAATGAGTTCGAAGTACCGGCGCACCTGCTTAGGTAAGTAGCATGGATTTGATTACTAAGACTCAAATACGTATTACTAGCTTTCGTTGGATAGAATAGAGAATCTAGTTATTTTATATATATTTTTACCATCACCTAAGTGAAGTCACAGATGAAGTGTCTGGATCAAAGTAGCTCCAGATCCTTAGTAGATTAGCTTCATATTTGAACTGCTCATACCATCTTTTCCAATCTGAGCTTCTTTCGAGAACGAGAACCGATGTGCTCGGAGAGTTTGCAAACTCCATAATTGAAAGTTATAAGATTTTTAGGACAAAAAAGTAAAACAAAATAAGATGGTTCCACAATAAAGTATGATCTTATGCTTAGGATGGAACTAATAAAAATAGAGTGAAGATAACGTGTAGTTGGTCGATGTTAGAGATGTTTCTCAAGTATTTGATCAATTGGATAAGGTAACGCTATCCGGACTCATGACTATTAGACTTTTTATGAAAAATGAGGTTTGCATTTGGTAAAATAAAAATCTGTTTATCTTTTTTTTAAGGTCAGAACCTCTTCTATATATTTAATGATCATATTTGATCCAACTTCAGTCTCAGTTTAATCCGAAACATCCAGAGCGACGTTTTCAGCTAACTCTGTTTCGTTATGCGGAGATAACAATTACAAAACAACCGCAAAAACAATAAGTCCGTGATTTGAATTTGAATTTGATTTCATCATCTTGATTTGGTGCCCTATGGGCCCATGTAGGTGTCTATCATACTTTCTAATTTACGTGGGAGGACATCTTTTGGTGAAAACCCCCCAAACCTTCTATTGTGAGGTTATGGATCGTAGAGAAATGCTGGAATGGTATAGGGAGGTGAAGGATATATTCCGAACAACGAAGCAGTTAAATAGAGCTTTAGGGTGAATCTTGGTAGGGTGACACCAAGAGGGTATGAATAGACCTTCAGAGATATTCTGTAAATGTAATGAATTGAGGATTTGTGAAGGAGAAGAACACTACATATATATACAGGAATTAGTCCTACTGAGACGACTTTAGAAATAAGCCAGGATATGCGCCCATGTCCCAGTATGGCGACATTATCATGGTGAAGGAATGTCTTGACCACCAGTAGACCCCCAAGCTAGCTGAGTGTAAGACAGAATTAGGCATATACCATAATTTCCTACATATCTTGTGTTAAGCGCCAAGATTAATTAATATTACAGAAAAATAGATGTGGCGCAGTATTAAATGATACGAATAATGGAAACGAAACCAAGATAGTACATGACTAGTGTAACAGATGCAGGACTGTTAGAA